CACCACAGAAAACCTCGGGGGACGTGCCTGTAAGCCTTCTCCAAGTTAACAAAATACAGGAGGGCAAATGAACTGACCTCTTTTGACCTGATTTGGTCCACTGTCCCCCGACCAGGAAAGAGAAATGACCACCTACCAGATGATACTCGTGATAATAGCTGAGAACTCGCAGTATTCAAAGCTGAGAAGCTGTTTGAATCTTGTTATGGCATCTGAGTGATACCCTATCGACTGGTTTACTTACAAATCTGACCATGACCACCCACAACAGATTTAACTGCCCTGGCCACACGAGTGTGTGGTGCGCGCACCTTGTATCAGATTTACCGTAGGTGGAGTGCATCAAAGCATTAGGGCAAAAACGCTCTGTGGGGAAAACAGATGTATGGCGGCTCTTGTTCTAATTGATATTTTGTGGCTTCCCTCTCAGCTCTGACTGATGCATTTCTGTCTGTGGGATTCTGGACGGGCCCTTTTGTGAGAGGAGAGAGTTACACAAACATGCCTAATGAGGCAGTATTGATTGTGGCTTCTGTGACAGCTTTTAATTAGATACTGACTGCGGCCGAGTGCCGGGATGGGTGGAAAGAAACAGCCTGTCTTCATCTGGCTGATCTTGCAACTCCACACACACACGCACACAAAGCCCAGTTAGAGAGCTTTCTGTTGAACTCAACCCTGAAGAATCAGTGAAAACACGCGAGAAAAAATGAGGACACCCAGTTCTGTCACAAAGCACCACCTGATGTTGAACTACTGAGGCAGAGAAGAGATTAAAGCCGATCACGAGCAGCCCATTGCTGTTCTGACGTTTTTTTTTCAGCGCCGTTCATCCATTATGCACGATCATACAGCTTTCCCTCAGAGGTTTCCTGTTAATGGGCAGCTGCACACACCAGAGAAGGACCTGAAACAGAGGACGGAGGAGGCCTGAGGAAGGGTTTGTGTCGGATATTACTGACAGGTTTAACAACAGCTCTAAGTGATGCACGTAAAGCCCGACCCAGGTGAAATGTTCTGGGAAAAGACGCACTCCTTCACTCTCCATGATGAAAAACCACACAACACGTTCTGCACAGGCGCTGCTGAGCTACGCAGCTCCTCACAGTTCACACAAGCTCAACATATAACAACGAGTCAATAATCCTATAAACACTTGGGCATTATCCTCAATTGGTGTGTCTGGATTGGAGCTCCATTACATCAGGTGACTGGTATACCTCTAGTCGTGTGTACCAGTTGCCCACACAATGTCAATAAATATAGAGCAATTAATGTCCATTATTAATGAGGATACAAGCAAGGCATAAACACCACATGATCCTCCACAGGTACTTATTGTAACAGATTACGTTTAGAATGATGTTGTTGGTAGAAGTGTGGGTAAAATACCGTAAATCCTCTAATATTAGCCTGTATTTAATTAACTGCCGGGTATCATATTTTGGCCGGTGTCGGAGTCGGCGGAGGTGAATAATGGCTCATTTTTTATTGTGGCCAAGTGGAATGTGGTAACAAGCAAGTACCACAGGGGGTGGTTGTGTTATCCGTCTCACTTTTGATTTGCCAGTGATAGACGCGAGGGTAACTTTAACCGTGCGGAGACGAAGAGGAGGCGAAAATTTGATATCAAGTTCAAAGAGAACGTGCCGATTATGCTGCAGAACACTCTGGGGAGCAGTAGGGGGTGTATGAACTAGTCACTAGTCGACTTCACCGCTCTATAGTGACTTTTTATGCCTGTCATCGACTAGTCGCTGTCACGTGATAATGACCGGCAAGATGCAGCCCTCAGAAAAGAAAGCGGCCTGCTGTCAGCAGGTGACGAGCTCCTGCGCGTCGGGAGGCAACGCGCTGTGCCAGAGCGTCGGTACCGTAAAACGGACATTTAACCAAATTGTGACTTTTACCCTCTTGCAATTTAACCTTCCCCTCACCCCCATCCTAACCTTAACCAGCTTGCGCATGCAAAGCTCTGATTGTTGACGCGCTCCAGACATCTGCGTCCTGAGCACGGCCACAGTAACATTATCAAATCAGATGTCGCCACCTCAGAAACTAATTTAACATGCGATCGTTCATGTCGGCTCATTTCCTTTTATGTTTTCTGTCTTTTATTCTTTTATTTGTGCCTGATGTGTTTTGCTGCTGCGGATCGGGGCGCATCACCTGTTTTGTCCTCGGTGACGCACCTAACTGATGAGGCCGGCGAGCACTCCGCTGTTTTTGCGGTCGGTAGATCTTTTAGAACTGCAGTTCAAAGGCAACTCATGAGGTGAATATATATGAACCCAGGTAGCAGTTTCTCTTTAGGATTGAGAGGAGATGCAGGAAGATAATAAACAGGCAGGACAGAAAAATAGTCAAATAAAAACAAGTTAGTTTTTGTACCTGGTGGTTGCAACAAACAGACACCATTGAAGGTAATCAGAAGTGAGGAACAGAAAATTAAATAATTATTTTAGTGTTTAGAGCAGCAGGAACTACGAGAGACTGCAGGCGCATCAGTGAGTTTGTTGCCGCTGCGCAGGGGGAGGGGGGAGAGGGCTGAAGCAGAAACTACCGTTGTTAAAAGAAATGTGTTTAACTTTGAAAATGTGGGCGCAATTTTAATTGTCAAAAACTCCAGCGAGCCATTAGTTCATTTTGCTCAAATAGAAATTGAGGCCTGCCTCTAATTCTGGTCCTCCTTCCAATAAAGGCCTGGAGCTTGATGAGCTTGAGTCAAATACAGGCCCGGGCCTGTATTAGAGGATTTACGGTAATATGTCTTGGACTAAATTAAATCTGACTGAATCGATCTAAAATAAAAATAAAGCTAAACAACCCTAAATTACCATGCTGCTCCCAAAAAATAAAGAAAGGAAAGGTTTAGGATCGAGGCTGCACGATGGTGCAATGGAAAACACTGTTGCCTCACTGCAGGAAAGGTTGCAGGTTTGACACCCGTGGGAGTTTTCTGTGTGGCGTGTTCATGTTCTTATCATCTATGGAGTTTCCTCTCAGAAAAAAAAAACATGGAGGCATAGAAGAAATCAGCCAATATTGTGAATTTTGGTGATCAGCCAATATTCAGCACAATCAGTAACCAGCTAACTATCACTCAGACGTCGTTTTTTCCCCCGAGTCTGTGAACGTAGCAGAGTTGTCATGCACAGTTCTCCACTGTTTATTCCTGTGTGTCTTAGTTTAAATGTTGTTCTCCTAGCTCCTTCCTCCCCCCCAGTGTTTATGTTTAAATTTAGATTTATTTATCTTTCAGCCCCTTTAGTTATTTCTTAGTGTTGTCTTGTCTTTGCTTTTAGGTTCTCACTCTGTTTAAGAGGATTGCGCTTGCAGCTCCTCCCCTCCTGGATGCTGTTAACTGGATTCTGGTCCAGCATGCTGGTGCAGGATGGGATGATGTTCTAGCATGCTGGACCAGGATCCACAGCATCCCAAGCTAGACATGTTGGACCAGTATACCAGCATTCAAAACACAATAAATGTTGTTTTTTCACTGCTGACTAAAAACACCAGTTTTTAGTCTCACCTGTTAGAGATCCGCTCCATGTTTCTGGTTTCTCCTTTCACTTCCCAGTTCTACTAAAACCCATTTCCGTTCACTTCTCACTGACAGTTTCCTTTTTGTTTGTTTATGCTCATTCTTCTTGTGCTGTGGAGATTATTTTATTATTTAAAACTTCAAGTTAACTTCACCTTTTTTTTATTTTTTGCTGAATTAGAATCAGGGCTCTGGAAAAATCTGAACCGATTCTCCAAACCTGAACTATAGTGCATCCCTAATGTTTAGGATAATTGGTGACTGCATGGGTCACTCATCTGTGGACCCAACACTCTGGAGTTTACCACCATGACTCTGAACAGGAATAAGTATAAAAATGTAAACATGAGTTCTTCCACTCCTCTTTATGGGTCAGGTTCTGTGTTTTTCTTCACTTTTTTGGCTAATATTTGCATCTGATTGCAAAACCTAAAAATAGAACACTAGAATCTCCATCTGAACCAACAGCTCAACTTCCTGTCTCCACGGAGGGCTGGGCTTTTGAATTTCAGAAGTATCTCTCAGAGGATCTTTAAGTGACACCTCAGAAGCTGTCACTGGAAGGCTGAGGTGGCCTAGAAAACTGAGCGATGCTTGTAGCTGTCTCTTGGGGAATGGCTCTTTCTTCCTGCTTTTATTGTATGTGACAGTTTTTGTCTCTAACATGTGTGTGTGTGTGTGTGTGTGTGTGTGTGTGTGTGTGTGTGTGTGTGTGTGTGTGTGTGTGTAGCAGCAGCTGAGGTAAACATTTGCTGCCTGATTTAGAAAAACAAAGAATTTCACATGGGAGGAAAACCTGATGTATGATAATATAATATATTTTAAGATGAGCAGCCATGTTGGCTGGCTGAGACCTCCACCTGGCCCTATAAGCATCTTTTCATTTATGAAGGAACAGACTTTAGACTTTCGTCATCTGTTCCTGATGAGTCTGAGGCATGGACGTAATTTTGGGGGGAGGACGGGGGGACATGTCCCCCCCACTTTCTCCAAAGTCAAGTTTTCACCCCTGCACTTTTTACTAATACTTTATATTAAATTGGCACTGGTTGAGCTCTAGGACCAAGCAGAAAACAACTATTTGTGTTGAAGCCTGTTTCCCATTAGAACATACTGTAAAGACACCCCCCCCCCCACCACACACACACACACACACACACACACACACACACACACACACACACACACACACACACACACACGTGTCCCCCCCACTTCTAAAGTGAAAATTACGTCCATGGTCTGATGTGTCACTGTTCCAGCCCATGATCTGATCCCAATCAGAAAGATGGGGGCAGTAACTGATTTATGTCATTTCCTGCTATTTTAAACTTTTGCTGCTTCAGGAGCAGCCTCCTTTGGGCATGTGATGTACCAGCTGCATCATGGATGTGGTTGCTATAGCAACCCGGATCCTAATGACGAGCCGTCGAGCATCAAGTGACTTTATGAGTCATTCTGAGAAACCTGCAGCCGATTCTGAAGCTTTCCACATATTTATGAGGAGGAAAAATAACAAGCATAATGCCGTTCGTCATGCATGATGACGACACCAGTAACACGCGCTTACATACGATCGCACACCGATCTGGATTAGACGGTGGTTCATCCCGAAGTGGAGAGGGTTTTCCCGCCGGTCTTACCTGGATGTAGAGAGGCTTTCTGATGACCCCCCAAGGAAACAGACCCCTTGCCATGGTAAACGCATTTCACAGCAGCTGCTGACGGAATAACCTGGACGCGCACTCCACATTCAGATCAAACGGGGTTAAACGTTGATTCCTGAAATAAAACACGAGGGATGTTTGCAGATGCGCGCTGGGATGCAGCGCGTCAGCAGACTGAGCCGCTGCGCAGCCTGCAGCCGAACCGCACCGAGCCACGAGCTTCTGGGCGGCGTTTGGCTCAGCCCGACTCTACCTGTTAGGAAGCTGTTGTCTTTGGATCAACGTGGGCGGTTCTGATAGGTGCACGGGTCATTTCAGCACCACTTTACAACAAGTCCCTGCTAAAAACGGATAATAAATTATAAAATGAATTGACCCTTTGATGCATGAATAATGAAATGCTCAACCATGATTTTTTAACCATTTTTTCATTCATCTTTAGGTGTGAATGAAATAAATTACAACAAATATTTTTTGTACATTTAATAATTTACAAATAATTTATTACATGTCCACCTCAGTGGGCAGCGTGCATTCTGAACATGAAATATGTTGGCTTGACTTACTGAAGTCCAAATGGAGGGGCTCACATGCAATAAAGTCTTCAACAGCTGTGCTTAATAGCAAAAATAAATAAATAACAATTTTGAGTACCTGTCCACTGTAGTGGCCATTATGCATTAAAGGGTTAATTAATCGGTGACACTATAAATCATTAATATGTGTTTGGCGTGCATTAAGCACGAGAGACAAAACTGAGAAGTGTCTTGCCAGATTGTGAGCCACATCTGTTCACTTGAATATTTCATTGCTGTTTTAAGCATTTCAGACATTTTTGTTCTTTTTCCTTTTAAAACATGGAGATGACCCGCTGTCATTCGAGCAGAGAGCTTCCAAACACAAATACCATGACTGGAATGAACTCCAAAATTTTCTCCTGCTGATTCAAAAAAAGCTAAAGAATTTTAGTAATTATTTTTAATTGCAAGTATTGTCTCAACATTCAATTCAATTCAATTCAAAAATACTTTATTAATCCCAGAGGGAAATTGATTATGCAGGGGCGTTCCAAGGGCAAGGCCTCACCTCCAGCACAACATCCCTGGTCAGTGGTCACTGACAAGACAAAAGCACAACCATTATGGAGCAGTGTGTCCCACAACATCTGGAGTATTACCAATGGCCAGACGTGGTGGTGGTGGTGTGATGGTATGGTTCTTTGCTGATTCAACACCTAGACCACTTGTTCTCAGATAATAGATCCACGAATTCTGATCTCAACCAGGGAGTTGCCACCAAGGATGTTACAACCATTAGGTTTAGGGGTCAATTATGTTTTTATAAGGAGCCAGGTTGTTTTTGTTAGCTGAAAATTTTATTTTGAATGAACTCAGATTATCTTTGTTCATCGTTGAAACCTTTAAGTCAGACGAAAAAGAAAAAAATGTTATCAGGAGTGTTTGTTGTTTTATGTATATTTTTATTTTTGGCATTCTCAAAAAGAAAAGCTGACAAAAGAGTTAGACCGCCTCCTGAGGGTGTGAACTGGTAAAAGGTGTTGAGCTTTGATATTCAGCACATTAATGCATGCAGCACAGTTATAATAATTTATCAGTCGTAATGCCTCTCTTGTCAAATTATATAACTGTTAAACACAGCAATTTGTGTTTACAGCACTAGACAGTAGAGCACATTTAAAAAAATAGCAGAATGATAAATGAGCCGCACTTGTATAGTGCCTCTCAGAGCAAGGACTCCAAAGCGCTTTACACTACAGTGTACCATTCATCCATTCACACACTCATTCACACACTGATGGTGATGAGCTACGATGTAGCCACAGCTGCCCTGGGGCGCACTGACAGAGGCGAGGCTGCCGAGCACAGGCGCCACCGGTCCCTCCGGCCACCACCAGCAGGCAAGGTGGGTTAAGTGTCTTGCCCAAGGACACAACAGCAGAATTCTCTGTCCAGAGCCGGGATCGAACCTGCAACCTTCCGATTACTGGACAACCCGCTCAACCTGTTGAGCTACTGCTGCACCACACCAGAGCTTTATAGCTACATGGCTTTATTCTGAAAATAAACAGTCATAAACATAACAGAAATAAGTCCGTGATTGTGGGGCATCTGTGTTCAGCCACAACTATGTGAAGCCAGGAGAGCAATTAAAGGAGATTACATAGACAAATGATGGATGCAGATAAGGTGTTTCGTGGAAATCTGTAGTGTTGTGTAACCTGGGACATTTTGAGTGGGTGGATTATAAAAATATCTTTTTCCGTATCAGAACAAACAAGCAGCAGCCTTGTTAGTTGCACAGCTGGAACAGACAGACAATAATAGCAGCAAATACCAAGAAGATTTGAGCTCATTAATTGGCCTGATGTGATGCTATAAATAATTGGTACAATCTAGTATAATAAACATTTATATACAGCAACATTTTTTACCTAAATTCAATGTTTCATTCAACAACATAAACAATCATCGCTTATCCAAAACAAATAAACCTTTCATTGCTGCTAAAAG